TGAGGTTTTCCTGATTTCGCAATCAGTAGTGCCACTTGATATGAAGCAATAACAGCTTTTTCATTATTACTCCCAAATGCTGTTTTCTCGATCAACTTTTGACTTGCTTTTAAATCTCTAAGTTTGTTTTGATAAAAATCGATATCTTTAGTGACATACTGTTCATGTTTTGTTTGTAGATGACGACGAAGATTTGCTGGCTTCATTGATTCATTTGATAACTTTTCATGGCAAATAACACAAAGCGGCCGTTCTACGTTGTCGACAATTATGTTTGTAAAGCCTCACGATAAATATTCAGAATAATATTTCCGTATTTTAACTGATGAAACCTTTTTGGAACTCACAGCACTATTTTCTTGATCCTCGTCACGCATACGTTTGCTTGTACCGGGTTTTAACCAGCGATCCATGGTAACTACGAAAATGCAAACAAATTTAACTTACCTTAGATTCATCTTGCACATTCACATACCAGTTTGTTATTTAAATAACACTGCAAATTATTTAGCAATTACGCTTACGCTCACTTAAGCCTCGGTTTATTCGAGAGCGGCACCGTCAAAGCGGCGCTGAGCGTCGTATCGTAAGTTTACGGCACCGTCGCGTCGGTCGTATGCGAAGCGATCGTCACTACGCTACGGTGAGAAATAGTTTGCCAACGGTTTTTGTCGGTGGTGTGTCGCGTCAGGGATAATATCGTTACTCAATTTTTTCATTTAAAGTTTAAAGGTTCAGTAATATTTAAAAATTACTATTTTGATGATTATTAACCTTTCGAGTGCACAGTCTTTTTGAGTCACACGGAGTGCACAACGGGGTCTATATGACCCCATGTAAAGAATGTTGTTATTATTTAGGAACAAACTTTATTTGAGAAAACCAAATTATAAGAACAATGTTTAAGGTCTATTTTACATTATAGATAAAAAATATTTTATTTATGACAATTAGAACATATAATATAAGAATGATTTTTACATATTGCAGTTTTACACTTAGAACAATAAAGGTTCGTTTTTTTATCATCTTGCCGTGAACATAAGGCACATCTTTTGCGTTTTGCTGGTGGTCCTGGTTGATCAAGGTTTTGTTCTTGTCTAGGGGGAACTTCAAATCCACAGCGCGCAAGACTTAACTTTACCAAAGGTTGCAAATTTGGTATACCGGACCTTATCTGAAGTTGCGCTCTCACCAAACCTTCACCTATTTCACGTATAAATAATCGTCTAGAATGTGAAGTATCTCTGAAATAATCAGGTTTAACATCTCTGAAGATTACTTGACCATTTATTGTGCAAGCATTCAACATAAAATAGAAAATTACCATAGGCCAGCGTCGTGGCACTCTTTGAGTCGTGTACGTGGCACACAATTTATCTAATGTATCTATGCCTCCCTTTGATTTATTATAGNATAGCCTTCTGTGACTCATTTTGACTTTTGAAACAACTTCCGTATTGATACGACAAAGTTAGGAACTACCGTACAGGTTCGCGTTTTACAACAAACTGATGAACCTCTGTGGCTCTGTGATGAAGCTATACAGTTGAATGTAGCAAAGTAGGAAGGCCGGGGATTCACACAAGTAGTAATGTATAGATAGGTACTTCCCCTTTGTGTAAATAAAAGCTAAAGACGGCTCCAAATTCAAAGTATTTAAAGAAATTTCCTAAGAAAAAAAGGTACAAGAAGTGCACTGTGGGGTCAATATGACCCCAATCAATTTTTTTTGTCCTTTAGAAACGCATAAATTTCAAATTCATTACAGATACATATAGAGCATTATAGTCTAGAAGATTATAAAAATTCATTAAATAAAAGATTTAATAGTTTAGAAAATACACATAAAATAATAAGTCGTGGGGTCATATTGACCCCACAGTGCACTCGAAAGGTTAATGAAGTCACGGACCCCCGACTATTAACTCGCGGACCCCCGGGGGTCCGCGGACCTCAGTTTAAGAACCGCTGCCCTACTCGCAACCCTCGGTTCTCAAGGTACAACTTCGTAATTAAATTACAAAGTTGCACCTTTACAATGTTTCCTTCGCTGGCGGCCGGAATTAAAATCGAATCAGTGCAAAAAAATGCAAACATTTATTTAAAATATCATAGCACCAGTTCTATTTACACTCGAATTATAAAACAAAAACGGCAAGAAAGACAATGGAATTTTTTACATATCCACTCTTACTTATTACAAAATAAAAATATTATGTGTGTACAGGGCCGGCGCGAGGCTTTTTTACGCCCTAGGCCAAACTGTCCTATCACGCCCTTTGATTTGTACAATATACAGCACAGAATACAGAATCATTTTCTATGTAGTTTCTATGAACTAATAGCATAAATGAATAGGTAAAATATGAATAGGAAAAGAAATTTAAAAACTCTATATAAAGAATAACATTGTCTAATATTTTGTTAATACTAAAACATAATCGTATCGTTACTTCCAACAATATTAACATTTACGTCATAACATTGTAGATGCCGTACATTTCCCTTTGAAGGCAGGCCACAATATTAAAATGCTACTTTGCGTGCTTTCTCTTGTGCAAATAATGAAATTAAGTCACAGAGGTCCAGATTGTAAGCCAGTTCTTGCTCAATTGATATTGTCGCTAATCCAACTAATCTTTCTTCAGTCATCGTTGAGCGCAAGTACGTTTTAATTAATTTCAATCTAGAAAAACTGCGCTCTCCACTTGCTACAGAAACAGGGAGAGTTAATAAAATCCTTAACGCGACGTAAATATTAGGAACACTATTCTGGAGATCATGCCTTAAAATGAAAAGAAGANATAATACAATAAAAAACCCTAATCTCGCGACTGGAGACACTTCAAATCCAGACTAAACAAATGAGGCGATACAAATAAATCTAATATGAACGAACTAATATAATATAAATCTATCAAATCTAATATAAATTAACCAATGTAATATAAAATCTAACAATGGGTAACCCCCCAAAAACGCAACGAATTTATGATTTATTTGAGTTGTTTCAAAAATTGTCTACCCTCACCTTTTTTGCAATTTGGTATAAATATTCCTTAATGTCGTTTAATTTCATAAATTAATTTTGTCTCATATGGACAAAAGCCCATACGAAGGTAAGAAACGTTGCTTTGAGGTCTGTCAAAGCTAGAACTATCTAAAAAATCGATAGATGTCGCAAAAACCAGAAAATTTAACAAATTCTGATTTATTACATTTTTATTAAAAGAATAAATTCAAAGATGAGAACAATTTTCTAATAATCAAAAAAGTATTCTATGCAGCCTTTGAGGAAACACGGATTTATGAAGCAAATAATCGCTCCAATGTAAGTTGCATATATTCAGACTAAAAATTTATTTCAAGAATGGTAAATGTAAATAATGGGATTTAAGCAAAAACGTATTAGAATTTATTACGGCGAGATTGTACTTAATGTTTGTATTTTTTAATTAAAATAAAATCAGGCGAATAAAGATTAACACCAGCGTTGAATTTTTGAAATAAATTTATTTACAATTTAGATGACGTTTACAATATCTTCGGGGTTGAGTTAACAGTCGAGTTTGGTGAGTGCATTGAATCGGATGATATTGGAGTTTATTTTTGAAATTTGTAATTTTGGTTAAAATTTTGGAAAAACACATTTAGTGGATTTTAATCAGCCGATTTATTAATTTTTGGAATACCTTCGGGGTGTATAAACGCCACCAATCTTCGTTTTACAAATTTAAAGCCGCCCAACAACTTAGGCGTAAGAAACAAGTTTTTTTTTTAATAGAATTTCGACGCTAATCAGATAATTATATTTTTATTTAGTTTCTTTTCCTTTTGTCAGGGCCGGCGCGAGGCTTTTATACGCCCTAGGCCAAACTGTCCTATCACGCCCTTTGATTTGTACAATATACAGCACAGAATACAGAATCATTTTCTATGTAGTCCAATTTAATGAACTAATAGCATAAATGAATAGGTAAAATATGAATAGGAAAAGAAATTTAAAAACTCTTTATAAAGAATAACATTGTCTAATATTTTATTAATACTAAAACATAATCGTATCGTTACTTCCAACAATATTAACATTTACGTCATAACATTGTAGATGCCGCACATTTCCCTTTGAAGGCAGGCCACAATATTAAAATGCTACTTTTCGTGCTTTCTCTTGTGCAAATAATGAAATTAATTCACAGAGGTCCAGATTGTAAGCCAGTTCTTGCTCTATTGATATTGTCGCTAATCCAACTAATCTTTCTTCAGTCATCGTTGAGCGCAAGTACGTTTTAATTAATTTCAATCTAGAAAAACTGCGCTCTCCACTTGCTACAGAAACAGGGAGAGTTAATAAAATCCTTAACGCGACGTAAATATTAGGAACGCTATTCTGGAGATCATGCCTTAAAATGAAAAGAAGAACTTCAGATGGGCCCATTACTTTTGGAAGTCTTCGAGACACACTTTGAAGTTCCCAGCATAAGTCTTCTCCATCAATGTCTTTACAGGAATTATGCGTTAAGGCACTTTCAAACTTTTTGCATTGCATAAGAATATCAGCTTCGTTTTTATCCTTTAAGTTAAAAATATCGTAAAGAAACTCAAATAAAGCACAATACTCTTGCATTTGATTAAATCTTTCCTGTATTGCATTTACTGCATTATCTATAATCATATAATAGAATGATATTTTATAGTTTTGTTTGGGATCTTGTATTGATACACCTTCGGCTTCATAATCAAACTGTTTTTTAATTTTCCTTCGCCTACTAGGTGCATTAGGAAAATTTGCATCAATATCGAGTTCGTTTGCCAGAAGTGTAGCATCTGATAAATTCTTTTCGAAGTTTTCATCTGATCGACAACTTACAAGATAATTCTTTGTAACTTCCAGCTGTTTCGTACATACAAATATGTCTGCATTCTTATTTTGCAGTAATTTGCTTGTAATGTTGATTTCGAAAAGAATATTGTACCATACCATCTATTGTATTTATACCATCTGCAATTCCTTTTGCTTCTACGCGCATGATGTTTCCACTGTAACCTGCTGGATTTGGGTCATTATAAATATCCATAACGGCGTCATATATTTTCGAAATTTGAAATGGCAGCGGCTTCAACGCATCGATACGGCTTTCCCAACGTGTATCACTCAGGGGTTTGATAGTTAAATTTGCTGCATGTTTTTGAAGAATGTTTTGTAGAACCAGCGAAAAAAGTATAAATTTTTTGTACAATGTTAAAAAAACTTGTAGCCTCTAGGGAACAGCTCACAGCATCATTCACCACTAAATTCAAGGAATGGGCATTGCATGGAACAAAGAATGCGCGTGGGTTTTTTTCAATGATTTTTCGTTGAACTCCATTTATTTTGCCCTTCATGTTGCTTCCGTTATCGTATCCTTGCCCTCGTAAGTTATCAATTTGTAATCCCATTTGTTCGAGTTCATCCACGATTGTTTTTGATATGAAAGCACCTGTTGTTTCTTGTAGTGGCACAAACCCAAGAAAATGCTCCCGTATGACCACGTCAGGTTGTTGTGTTTCTTCATCCATTACATCAACAAATCTTATTATAATTGTCATTTGTTCCGTATGACTGATGTCAGGAGTACAATCCAATATGATTGAATAATATTTGGCTAATTTAGCACTATTCAAAATTTTTGCTCTTATAGCTCGTGATAGCAGTTGTATAAGTTCATTCTGAATATCCTTGCCGAGATAATGAACAAATAATTTAGCATCTTTAACTTTTTGCAAATGTTCATTCATGACTGGATCGAATAATGCAAGATATTCAATAAATTTTAAATAGTTGCCGTTATTATGGTCATATAATTTATCCTTTGAACCGCGAAAGGCCAAGTTTTGTCCACCCAGAGTTCTCACCAAGGCTATTAAACGATGTAAAATTTGTTTCCAATAGCTCTCCTGTTGTTTAATTTTCTTTTGGTGCATGGCGTCAATGGTTTTATTTTCACGTAGACGAACTTCTAATTCTCGCCAAACTTGACAATTGTCAATGTGATTTACATTGCGCTCATGGGAAAAGAGGATGGTGCTCATGTTTTTCCAGTCGTTACTTCCTTCTCGGCACAGTGAGGTATATGCAGATTTTTGTTTTTTCTTGAATAACTTGCAGCAAAAACATACAACTGTGTTATTTGATGGAGAATAAACTAACCATTTCCTTGGTATTTTTTCTCCATTACACATTTGTCTATTGAAGTGAACCGTGGTAAACCTACGGTTGTTTTTATCTTTGGGAAACTGACTTGGAATATTTTGTTGAGGGCCGCGTGAGACAATCATTTGTCGCAAATGATCATTTATAGAATCAGGCCAGGTACCAGGATCGTCATAATCAATGGAAACGTATGCCGATGTATTTGATGCTCCTTCATCCTTTAAATTTTCACCGTGTACTGCTTCTGTTCCCTGCTCCGTAGTTTTCAATATCCGTATTTTCTTTATCTTCTCTTTGAAGAAACACAAGGAGAGATCTTTTTAATTTGGCACTTTCTTTCTCTTTTTCGCTTTCCGTTTTCGGTTTTGCGACCCAGAAGGTCGCGTAGGCTTACTAGCATCAGCCATGACAGTTCTATTGAAAGAATATTTTGATTATTCTTGAAAAGCGAACATCTTATATATTCATAGAACACTTTTGGAGGAAGACATCGATAGGTTTTTAACAGAACGCAGAACACCGGAAACGACATTGAGAAAAATTTACAAGAATCGATTTTTTAACTGCTTTATCTTACAGCATGTTTTTTTTGTGGGCAAGAGGTTTAATGAGTTTTCATTGAAATAAGACAGTTATTAAAAAACAATTTTTGTGAAATTTTATCAGTGTTGTTTACGATGTTCTGATGTTTTAAAAATCCGTCGATATTTTAACTAATTTTAACGTCATAATATTTTCACACTTACCAAATGTTTTAAATCACAACACAATAATAAAGGTTTTTTGGAAAAATGCGATCCGACTACACGTAGAACTACTGCTAAATTTTATAGGTTAGCTATTTAATTCTAGTGACATTTCTTGCGTTGACGGTATTATTGACGTATTACACTGGTATTCCGGGGTTCCCGTGAAAGCAATAGGAAGTAAGGTTATATTTATGTCTACTTCCTTTAGAGACATTAGAGACCATTAGAGACCATTAGAGAATGTAAAAAAGATCAGGCAATACACTAATTGAAAACCACGTTAAAATTAAAAATATACATAGTCCTTATAGTCCGGTCGAGTATGTAATACGTACAATTGTTAAAGGTTGCCTAATATAGTGGTCGCTTTTGTTAAAAATTTAGCCCAATTAAGATTAATTTAAGAAAGTGCAAAACTTTTGGCTTTTTTCTCGTGCGCCAAAATTTTGCGCCCCCCCAAACTCGCGCGCCCTAGGCAACCGCCTAAATTTCGCTTATGTCGCGCCGGCCCTGCCTTTTGTTGCCGACTTTTCCTGAGTAAATTTCAAATCTGGAAATTAGTTTCAAATGGGTGGATTGATTCATTGAAGGAGGAGATAATTAGCGAATTATTTAGCCATGTTGACCACGCTTTCGTTCGCCATCTATATTCATCCTGCGTCATCTCAACTACATTGACGCGAAACACAAAAAACTAGTACAGGAAAAGAGGTCGGTTAAACAATTTCTTAATTTATTATTTCGTTTGCCTCATAAAATAACATCTACGTTTACGCCCGGTTTCTCTGATTTGTTAGAAGAATTTGGATTCGAATTTGAATTTTATTTCTTTGTTGATTCTAAAAAAAAAAAAGGGATTTTGTTCATAAGAAAAGAATTTAGGGTTATAATTTTATTTTATACTTACATTCGATATTTTTGTACCGGTTGTCACGCTGAAGCGGGATTATTTTTTTTACTTTCAATTTAGAGTAGCTCGCATTTTTTTTTTCACCGTATATTTGGCCAAATTTCGGTTCCGGATTATTGAATTTCTTTATTTTACTTACCGCTTCCTTGTACGCCGTCGCGCTGAAAGAAACATATTTAGTAATTATTTTCTTATTTCTCATTATTATTTTTTTATAAACTTACCTTTCAAATATTATTTTTTTTTCTCTTTATTATTATAATTTTTTTACATTTACCTTTCAAGTATTATTTTTTTATTATCATTAAAAGTATTTTGGTGTCAAAATTTCGTAGTTTTATTCAGTTATTGCGGGTTGATGTTAATTCTGAAACTATATACGTGGCGCTCATTGGCAATAAAATTTTTTTTTGAAGAACTCATACCCCGCCGACTGTTGCACAAGCGGCCATCAATTTTGCAAACATTTTACCACCAGACACTAAGAATTTCATGAATAGAATTTTGCTTATTGTAAATTAGATTTTTTTTTGTTTTGATAAAAAGCCACGTAACAAATTATTGAATATGGCTATAGAAGTCTTAAGAAAATATTGAGTCATCACCATGCTTAGCTTTAGAACTCGTTGTGAACCTAAGTGGGTTTTAAAAAATCGGTTTTTTTAATTTTTTTTTAGCAGATAGAGTCTTGTACATACTCTTGCACTTTCTCCGGCTATATCAACCAGGCTAAGGAATTTCCGAGGGCTAGAATACAGCTCAGAGGTGTGTTCCTGATGCCATCCGTGCTCGGCCATTCCTCTCCGAAGTCTCTCATTCTGAGGTCTTGCATAGTGGTCACACAAGATGTGTCTAACAGTCTCCTCACTCTCTTCACAAAAGCGACAGAGAGGACTAATAGCAAGCTTAAAGTTATGAAGATGCTTGTTATCCTTACAGTGACCGGTGACGAGTCCCGTTACAATTCGTAGAGCGTTTCTACCAAGCTTTACGAAAGACAAGGCTACCTCTGCTAAGGGATAACGAAGTAGTTCCTTAGACAGATGGCAGCCCTTAACCCTATCCCACCAGTTCATAAACTTTTTGTGGATAAAATCTTTAATTATCTCAATCTGAGTTGATAAGGGCGGAGCGATTATCGGTTCAGGCGAACATGGCGCTCGCTTGGCAGCCCTTTTGGCAAGCCTATCAGCGTGCTTGTTACCTGAACAAGTCGAGTGTCCTTTTATCCATTGAAGTATGACACTGTTATGCACTGCGGCCTTCTCCAATGTCAGATGACAATCCATTACAAGTCCTGACGTAATTGTTATTCTACTCAGGGCTAAAATGGCTTGTCTACTGTCAGTGTAAATTGTAAAAGTCTTACCTACCAAGTTGGATCTGACAATAACCCCAGCGGCAAGTTGTATGGCGATTAACTCCGCCTGTATGACGGTGGTACTTTTACCTAGAGGTTCAGATACGTAGAGTCGGGGATCGTACGAGAAGACTCTGGCTCCAGCTTCTTCACGTCTCCTTGAACCATCAGTGTAAATTTTAAGGCTGTTTTTTATCTCTACTTCTGTGGAACTTGAGTGAGTGAGATATTTCTTCGTGAAAATGTGTTGTAGGGATGTGAAATCCGTTACACATTCCAGAATTGGTGAGTAGTCCTATATTTGTCACCCATTAGAATTCTTGCTGCTCGCAGTCGAATCATGGTCACTAATGCCACCTCTTGGATGAACAGATAAAGTGGCGTTAGGTTCAACATGTTTTCCAGGCTGCAGTAGGGGTAATCCGCAGCGCTCCTGTAACATACAAACACGCAAGTCTCTGTACTTTATTAAGTACAGCAGTGGATGTAGACTGTAATGTAAATGTCATATAAACGATTTGATTTTGTACATGGAATGCTATTTTGTTCTATTTGGAATTCTATTTTATTTTCATTTTCTGATAAAATATCCTGTTTAGAGTTATCAAAAAACCGAAGAAAACCGGCTTATTTCGCATGGGACAGTTAGAAATAAACGGCAGCCGTTTAGAAAAGATGGTTGAATCAAATACAACAGCATCTAACTGCCCTTCGACAGTATCTTAGCCTGCTGCCCTTTATCTCGAAATTAATCTATTCTCCTCTTTTTCACGTAATTACATTTAACCATAATCCTATATCGATTAAAAAGCAAACAAACGTGGAACAGACTGACTCAAATGACTTATTTATTACGTCAACACTGACCACACGGTCACAGGTCTTAGTACACGTACGTAATAATTTAAAAAACAAAGTCATTAAAATTTCTGCATTTCTTCCATTTTTGTGAAATTTTAGTTTTTATAGCTTTATGGTAGAAAAAGAATACTAGTTGAGAAAGCGGCAGCTTCGAGGGGAGCCTCGCGGAATAAATTCGCCCAAGCAGCCGCTGAAAATAGAGTAAAAAATATTAACACATTGATCAACATTTAAGGAATTAAACAGATCACACCAATTAACAGTCTCCAGCGGTTTATCACTGGAGACTACGGAATGTCTTACATCAGAATTACATACAATTAAATCTAATGTTCTATCATTTCTATTTAAAACGTTATTGAATTAATAGAAATTATAATAGAACACAAGCAGGAACTCCTTCACCTAAGCATCCAACTCCCCAAGAGGAATGAGCTCTTACCCAGCAGCCATAGACCTGGAAACGCTTGGGTTATTAAAATCATTGATGACCAGAAACCAATCGCGCACATCCTGAAGTTGCCAAAGAAAAGCATTGAACAGGGCAGGATCATTTGGCAGCAGATAAACCCAGCACAAAATCATCCGCGTGTTACCATAACACACACACAACAAATCCTCAGTTACCGTAGTAATGATTCAGATTTATTGGTGTCACAGAACATTACATTCATTACACATGTCACATAAAATACAAACAAAATATACAACAGTAACATACATATATGTATAATAAAGTTAAAATTAAAATACAATGGGTTTGTACAAGCTAAACACATCTTAATTAGTTATGTAAAGTCAAAGTCTTCTACGGAATAAAAGGCACGTCTAAGCAAGTAGTCTTTTATTCTAGTGTTAAAATGTTTCACTGGAAGATCTTTTACATCTTGTGGCAACTTATTATAAAGTGACGGCCTAAAATGGTTGACAGCATTTCGACCTCTATCCACTCTTGTAAAAGGGAGATATTTTGGTGCGATCGTATGGCGTGATTATGCA